CACAGAGTAGGACATGTTGTCGTTCGTCGTGTCATTGATGCGGGAGAAGAGGTCCTCGCACAGCTGCGGAGAGAAGAGCCAGGCTACTCAGCGCCCCCCACCAGAAGGATGCTCCTGCCCGGAGTGCCCAGGCCACAGGAATTTCCACCTTCTTCTCCCAAACACCAGAGCCCCTGAGTGCTGGGACGGCTCCCGGGGAGTTGGCAGACCGCCCCCCCTGCTGATATGGGGGACTCAGCATCCCCCACCCCGGTACCCTGCTGGGCCAGCACACAGCAGCTCTCGGCAAGCACAGCCAGTGGTGGCTCAGTTTTTGGACTACTACTGCTCACAAACACCGGCCTGGTGTGGCCAGACCGTAATTCATCCGGTCTCGGAGGAGTTCGGTGTGACCCTCCGGTGGAGCTGTGCTGGCTGGCTGCCACGACAAGGCTGCAGCAGACCTTGGCCAAGCCTGGCCCTGCGCCTGCCCTCCTCCCATCTTCCCTCCCCGCTCTGCTTCTCCTTTGGGCATCCTGCTGGGATCAGGGGAACAGGCAGCTTTTCTCCAGGCGGTACCTGTGGGATGATGCCTTGCTGGTCCTTCTCCTGCTTTCCCATCATCGTGTAGGATTTTCCAGCACCTGTCTGCCCATAGGCGAAGATGCAGACGTTATAGCCTTCGAAGGCGTGTTGTAACATCTCCTCGCCAATGTCCCGGTACACCTGCTTCTGAGATGCATAGTTGATGTCTGCGGGCTGCAGAAAGGAGGGGGACAAGGAAAAATTTGGCAACAAGGTCCTCCTGCCTTTCCCCAGCCCAGCGGTCCAAGCAGGCTCAGGCTTCCCACCACTTACCGTGGTGTGGGACCAGTAGGAATAGTCAAAGCTGAAGCTTTTTGGTGTCTCTTTCGGCTGCTTTGGGTTCAGGATAGCTAGGGGCAAACAGACAGGAACATGAGGCCACCCAGCCACCCATGGTACCCCCGCCACCCACATCCCGCTTGTGAGAGTAGAAGGGTGATGGGGTTCAGTCCAAAACGGTCCTGGAAAGCGGTACCAGGACCCCCCAGCTCCGCAGATCGGTCCAGAGCCCCCGGACCCCAACAGTCCCAGCAGAGGCGGTGGGTGCCACGGCTGGCACAGCCCGCCCTAGCCCCCCAAGAGTCCCGGCAGGGGGAGTGGGTGCCACGGCTGGCACAGCCTGCACTAGCCCAGGGAGCCGGGCAGAGCCTTGCCCAAACATCCTGCTGGGCATGCTGGGGGGGAATGGTTCCTTCCCACTTCGGCACCTGCCCATGGGAGCTTGGCATCGGCGGATCACAGCCTTCCTTCACCCCACAGCCCTGCCTAAAGCCACACGTGTTGGTGCTGTGGGGTGGGAGAAGCCACAGCCTCATCGGAGTTCCCCTGAGCCCCCTCCATCTCCTGCCTCTCCTCCCCTGTGCTTTCTTTTGGGTACCCAGCCCCGGCAGGGTGATTAATGCCTCGTCTTACACTGCCAGCGGAAACAAGAGCCTGCTTTTTCCCATCCCCTGGTGAAAAGGACGTTGCCATGGAAATTGGAGACTGCATCACTTCTCTTCCTCGCTCACCACCTTCCCTCCCCCCGTAGAGCGTTTACGATGGGGTTTTTTTCTGAAACAACAGATGCGTCAGAAGAAACCCAAACCAGCAGGGTAATCACGAGATCCAGCCATCAGCCATGTCAGGCGACATTGAAATGACCTTGCGGGCTGGCACAGCGCAGGTCCCATGCCTACAGCCCCCAGCTGCTCCCTGCCACCGTCGGGGACGAGGAGGCCGTACAGCACCAAGGCTGACGGAGCATCCTCCCTCGCAGCACCAACCTGCCCTGCCCCAGGGCCGGCTCTTGGCCGGGGCTAGCACCCGCTCAGGATTCAAGCTAGGACCTTCCAAGCAGCCCCAGGCATGGCACAGCCCGTTACCCGGGGGTCGGATGCCCCAGTGCGTGGCGTTACAGATACGGATGCTTTCTGCTCAAAATTCCTCCCCCATTGCCATGATGGATTCTCCCTCGGGAAGGATGCGTCACTTCTGGCCTGAGACCAGTCCATCCCTGCCCACAAAGGCAGCGAGGCAGGCAGGTGGAGGGTGGGAAGCAGGGTCAGGATCCGGCCCCGACCGCAAAACCGCAGCCCGGGGCCGCTCGGCTGGCCCCCGCTACGGGTTTTTTTTCCAGCACCAAAGAGGAGCTGGGTGCTGGCTCCCTGCCCACCTGCCCACTGGAAGCAGCGTGACTCAGATGCTCCAGATGCCTCCTGCATCCCGGGCAGACTAATTACCAAAGCCATAGCTGCTCTTTCAGGAGAAACGGCTGGGAAGTGACATCTCCATAGCAACTGCCCATCCCGCAGCTGTAAATGGGGATTTGGAGGTCCCCGTTGAGATCTGGACCAAAACGGCACCGGGTCTTTCTGGGCAGCGTGGGCAGCCACCGGGGCTGCGCGTCCCTGCCGGTGCCCGATTGGTGTGCTGAGGGTGGGTGAGCGGCCGTTGCAATGAGAAGCACAACGCGGAGGCCGTGGAAAAGTTGGGTGGAGCATCTCTGATGGCTCCTGAGGTTCACCTGGCAGCTCCGCCATGCCACCCAGCCCCTCTGTGTGCTCGGCACGACTCCGTCTTTGCCCCGCAGAAGTGACCCTCGCTGGAGCGAACGGGAGCATCACGCACCACAAAAATGCGTCTAACGGGGGTAAAAGCAGGAACGGGCAGAATGGGGCTGCACAAGGCGGCTGTTCTGCATCCCAGTGCCAGCCCACGCTGGGCACGGGGCGGAGGAGCGGCCGGGGATGGCACCGAGTGGCTCTGGGCATCCCAGCTGCAGCCACCCAGTGGGCCGGGGACTGGGACACGGGTGAGAAGGGAGCACACCGAGAGCAGCGGGGTCTCCCATCCTTGGGCTGAAACACTCTCCCCATGCCCTCTTCATTCCCACTTATTTGTCCCCACATGCCACTGGTGTGTTTTTTCTTCTTCTGTGACCAGGCATCCCAGGGTTTTTGCAAAGCTGCTGCAAAAGATTCATCCTCTGTGCTCTGTGCTCCCTTCTTTCTCTTTTCCTCAAAAAAAAAAAAAAAAAAGGGGGGGGAAAGACATACAGACAAGAGAGGGAGGAGGAAAACATCTGGAGATGACCTTCATCGTTACCCTGAAGAGACAGCAGCGTGGCAGAGCACAGCAAGCGGGCAAGCACTGCGCGGGATAAAACCCAAGACGCACAGGAGAGAAAATAATCGCCGTATTTTAAAGCCCACAGAGACATGGCTCCAGCCGGAGAATATTAATGGCCTTGGGGGATGAAAGCCGGGGTCCCTTCCTTGCCGTCCTGGTGGGAGCTGCCAGGAGAGGAGCCGGGGGGGGGGGGGGCGTAACACCCCGGGTCCA